TCCTGGATGCATTTCATAATATTCCAATATGTCCATTATAATTCTTAGGTTGTTTTTGATTTGTCTCTTTGGTAGAAATTCATTTTGATCTGGATGTATAAATTCAGTTAGAAATCTTTTCAGTCTCTCCGCTATTATTGAAGTAAAATTTTTATAGTCCACATTTAGTAATATCGGCCTGTAATTTGTTATCTGTGTCAAATCTGAGTCTTCTTTTGGTACTATGTTTCCCCAAAATTTAGACCCAGTCTTATATGTTTTTTTTTTCCTTCAAAAGAGGCACTAGGTCTTAATTTCAGAGAATGTCCTACCTTAGGACCACTGCAGCCAAGCCTCCCATGCCCCAACACTTGTCGCACTGCTGCTTGACTTCTGCAGTCATTTGCTGACACTGCATCTGGATGCCATGTGGTGCATTGCACCACTGCTGCTCCTCCCGACAGGACGCCACATGGCGCTTTGGGCTGCTTCCGCTGCTTGCGCAGCACTTCAGGCTGCTTCCACTTGCACAGTGCTTTGGGCCGCTTCTGTTGCTTGTGCACTTTGGGCAGCAAAAACAGCCTGAAGTGCTGCACAAGCATCGGAAGCAGCCCAAAGTGTGTGAGCTACAGAAGCGGTCTGAAGCCCCATGCAGTGTCCTGGGAGGAGCAAAGGCGCAATGCGCCACATGGCATCAGGCCACAGGTGGTAGCAACTGGCTGCAGAAGTCAAGCAGTGGCACGATAGGTTCAGGGCATGGGAGGCCTGGCTGCGGTGGTCCTACTGGTAAGGTGAGCAGGTCTGGGGTGCTTGGGGTAGGTTCACCCCTTCTACCTCTGCCCTAGCTTGATTTTTAGTGGTGCACTCACCCTAAAACTAGGGCTTAGTTTTGGAGTAGAGCTTATATTAGGCCCACCCCCCCACCAAAATCAAGCTAGAGCTTACTATTGGGCTGGGTCTAACTTTCGGGGAAATGCGGTATTAAAGTAATATTTGCTTCTGTCCATGTATTTGGGAGTTTAGCCTCCAACAAAAATTCATTACACATATCTTTCAACGGTGCACTTAGTGTATCTTGTAGGCATTTATACAACTCTTCCGGTAGCCCATCTGGTCCCAATGTTTTTTCATTTTTTTGTCTTCTTATAGCCGCTGTCAATTCCATCATTGTTATTTTTTCATTTAACATAATTTTAAAGTTTTCTGAGATTTTTGGTAAATTATTTTTTCCATATATTGAATCGTTTTCTCCCATGAAATTTGTTCTATATCATACAGTTTCTCATAGTATTCTTTAATTATCTTTTTTATTTCTTCATTTTTAATTGTAAACAGCCTTTTTCATCTATTATCAGTTTTTTCTCCTGTTTTTTAAGTTTATAGGCTAACCATCTTCCTGGTTTATTTGCATTTTTGAAAAAAAAATGTTTTGCTCTGTTTAATTCGTTGTGCCAATTTTTCTGACTCCATTAAATTTAATTTATGTTTTATTATTTCCATTTGTTTTTTCAGTATTTTCTTTTGTGGATTTATTTGTAGTTCTAATTCTAATTTTTTAAATTCTTCCCTTAACAGTATATGTTGTTGTCTTTTTTTTTGTTTGTTTGTTTCCGCCATGTATGTTATAGCTACACCTCTAAAATATGCTTTGGCTGTATCCCATACATTTTGTAATGTTGTATCTTCTTTTTATTTTCCTTAAAGAACTCCATTTGTTTTGTTGCTAGTTCTATAAATTCTTTTTCTTTTAATATGGATTGGTTCAAGGTCCATCTTAGTTTTTTTGTATTCCTTTCCATGTCATTTTTAAAGAGTTATGGTCTGCCCATGTGCCTAATTCTATCTCAAATCTCTTGCATATTGGTCCTTAATTCAGGCATCATCCAAATCATATCAATTCTGGACCAAGATTTATGGCTATTCAAATAGAATGTGTATTGTAGTTTTTCTGGATTAGTTTCTCTCCAAATATCTTGTCCAATTTCCTCTATCATATTAAAAAAAGACAAGTAATCTTTTTCTTCCACTTTTTTCCTGTTTTGCTACTTTTATAGTCCAATGTCCCATCTACTATTGCTTGAAATCTCCTACTAGACAAATATCTTGATACTCCATTTCTACTATTTTTCTATGAAGATTTTGATAAAAAATTTTCTTGTTTATTATTTTGTTCATATATTACTACCAAAAGTATTTGTTTTTGATGTAAAAATATTTCAACCATCACAATTCTTCATCTGAATAAATCATTTTATAGTCTATTGTCTCTTTGATGTATACAGCTATTCTTTTTTTCTGTTATGCTGATGCATAACAGAGTTTCCCAGTTTTTGGATATTCCCAAAATTTGTAGTGTTGTTTTTTTTATATGTGTCTCTTTCAAACAAATTATATCAATATTTAATTTCTGTAATTTTTTTTAAAAAATGTTTCTTTTTGATGGGGAGTTCAGTCCATTTATGTTCACTGAAAAAAAAATCTGTTTTCTTTCTCCATTTTGTTTACTTATTTTTAGGTCTTGTTGATCTCACGGTCCTCTGTTCTCTTGCTATTCCCTCACCCTCTTGATCTGGCTTCCCCTTCTCTCTTTCTATTTGTATAGTTGTTTCCTCTGTTGTTTGTTCTGTCTGCTTCTGGTCTTTTCTATCCTCTTGTTTGTGTTGTACTCTTTCATCCAGGAATGCTTTTTCTTTCATCAAAGTCTTCTGCCTTCGAAACTGAACCCAATTGATATCTTGTATTGTTCCAGTTGATTAAGATCCCTTCTGGCACTAACCATCTAAAGTTTAACTTTGTAGTCAAGAAGTGATATTGTCTTCGGGTGTCTCTTATTCTCTTAGGGATCTGCTTCAACACCACAATTTCTTTGTTTTTATATTGTAATGATTCATGTCTAATTCTTCTCAGTATCTCATCTCTTATTGTTTTCTTTATAAATCTTACATGGACTTCTCTGGATAATTTGTATTTCCTCGTGTAGCTTGAATTCATTCAAAATATTTCATCTATTTCCATTTCTATCTTCGCTGTTTTTAGAGCCTCCACTAATGGATTAATAATCACTTTTGCTATATCTTCCTCATTTCAGGTATATTTTGGAATCTTAGTAGTATACAGCTTTCTCCATTTCCATGGCTGCAATTGCTCCCTGTAAGCTTTGATTTGCTTGTTCTAATCTTTCATTTTCTTCCATTAATGCCTCCATTTTTTATCATCAAATTGTGCCTTTATATCCAGCATTTGCTCATTTAGCTTATCTAAGTTGTTTTTTCTCTCTTCGTGATTTTTCTGTTGATTCTTGAATTAGCTGTAGTGTGGCTTGCATCTCTTTGTGAGCAGTTTGTTTTTTCTTGCAATGTTGTTTCAATAGATCCCTGACTTGCTGGGCTGGATGTTCCACCAGAAGGTGCAGAAGAGGGTTTTTGGGTTTTTTTTGTAATTTTAGTGAGTTTTGGTGCACTCATTTTTCAATTGAGTAAGTTTGTAAATCCACAAGGAGAAAAAGCAAAAGGAAAAAAAGCCAATTGCCTTAGTCTATAATCCAACCGTGAAACAAGCCAACTGCTTTAGGCTAATCCAAATGTTCCAGTTAATTTAAAAATGTAAAAAGCCTTCTGTTTCCAAATAATTTCTATTGTAGTTATATACAGGGTCAAAAGATATGATTGTAGAAAGTCTTTTCTAGCATAGTCACATAAGATTCTTTTGTTTATACCAGGTGTTTCAAGGTCAAGAGCTTCTCTAGTTCTTTTAGTATTTTAGTAGTTGTAATATCTCCTTTTACCACTAGATGTCCTTATTTACTGTGTTGCCTATATCCAGGTTTAAACTTTTTTTCCCTCATAGAAATTAGATATAAAAGGATTTCTCACGTGGTAAGAGTTAACCAATTTTTCTTTAAATCAGTCCCAATTCCATTTTTATATATTCTTCTGTATTCCTTAATTTCATTCCATTTATAATTTTTCACTGCTTTTAACTCCCTTTTTCTCAAATCTTCCTGGGGTCTTTGCTTTGGAAATTTTATCTAATTAGGGGATCTCTATTTCCAAGACCATAAGGAAGAGGAATAAAAGAAACAGTCTCACCCAGTTCTCAGCATGTTGTTGACTATTAGTTGTTTGGCAGCATTCTGCGGGGTTCTTCGCTTTTTTCCTGGTTGTCTTATGACTTAGGCTGCCTATGCCAACAGGCAGCCTTCTGTCTGTTTGAAGAGGTTCCTTGGTTTGTTTGGATTGACTGCCGTCTGCTCCAAACTCCCAAGGCTTTCTTTCTTCCTCGTCGCCTCTTCACGGCAATTCTTTATAACAAAACTTTGGAAACATCTATGCTTTGCTGCCTATCCTATTGACAGTGGGCTATTTTAAATTTTATCAAAGTGCCTAAAGATGAGTAATAGTAATGGTTATAATGTAGAATCCTTAAAATAATGAAGCTTTATTCATACAACTTAAACATTTTTCATGCTCTTAGGAAGGAGCTATTTAGATCATTAAATCCAGACCATTTGTTCAGGAATCTAAACTAAAGCATGGCTTGATTTCATGCATATCTAGTTGTGTTCCTTCTAATAAATATCTTTGTGGTCTGTGTTAGCATTTTGTAAGCATATAAGAAATACATCCTAATAATGTGAGATTAAGAGGGTCTGAGTATGGATTAGCTTATGCCAAATTGATTATCCGAATGGGCAGAATAGCTTCTTCGAATAGCCTATGGATATGTCAACATGTGGAGATATGACTAAAATTTCAGATTGTAAAAAATTGATTTAGTTCAATTTTGTGCAGTAATAGTTTTATTATTATAGTATTCCCACAGGGAGTGTGTCGTTGCAATTATGAGTTTGACACGCATATCATGACATCAATATGTATGGAAAGCACATAGGGAAAGCACATATTGTACAAAAGGCTTCAGAGAGCAGGAGTTTAACTTGGAACTAGACAGCCCACGGTATTTTGGCTAAGGCAGGATATTTCTTTTACTATATATTTAAAGATTTATTATTTTCTTTTTAGGTTTCTGTAGAGAAGGAATACATTGCTATTTTGAAAACTCTATTCAATCTTGGTGGTGTTACTATATGTGTATGGAATTATGGAGAAGATCAACCCTCAAATGTTTAAACTGCACAAGTTCAAGAACTGAGGAAAAGAAATGACCAACAAGAATTGTTGAGGAAAATATTATTTAAAAGCTGTATTTCAAGTGCAACTGCTTCTGTATAGTGTGGAAGATTATCAGTAATATAAGAAAGGAAAGCCCTAGAAAAAGGGCCTGTCCAAAAGTTGAAAAAAAAAGATGTTTAGGCTACTTCTATTAATAAAATTGGGATTATGGTATGAGGTTCTGCAATTCAAAAAGAAAATAAATATGTTTTGCTTCTGTATGCAACTATGATTAATTTAATTACATCCATGCTTTGTGGTTTATCCATTACTTATAAAAGTATTTTTGATAACCAGAACTGTACTTAAGATAAGACTAGCATTCAGATCTATGTAAGAATGGCGTAGGATGGCTTTTATATATTTAAAATCCTGTGAATTATAGCCAGGGTTCCATGAATTATTTTATTACTTAAGTAAATATATACCTACCCATATATATTGCAAATAGTTTGTGGATATATTTCAAAATAAAGACCTAGAAGGTCTCAAAAAAAGAACATGTTCCTTGTCTTTATTGGTCAAGTATGCATTACATTTGAAATATAAAAAGTGTTCCAAAAATGTTCCTAATACAGACTTCTAGTATTCACCCACCCAGTATTTTAATTTGACAAGGCTTATTTCATAAACAAGACATGAAGTGTTTCAATCTGTTCTATTAATATTTTTGCTTTCAAGTCAACAAAATACAGATTGCTTTAATAAGAAACCACATCCTAGGAAACTTAGCTGAACCTGACAATATATTTTATTGTAATAAATACTAAGCAGCACCTACTCTGCTGAAGGATTATTTTAAAGAAGCAACAATAATCCTAATTAACTGTAGTAAGCATAAACTAAAGATTGTTGCAAATATTATATAAAATACTTAAATAGCATTATTCCCCCACCCATTAAAGTGCTGAAAATTAGGTTGGTATGTTTTTCTCCTTTCCATCAACAGCTATTTGATTAGACATTCTTTTTTTTACAACCAATTTCAAATATTTCAATAGGTATAGTAAAAGATAATGGAAAGGTTATTTTAAGAGCACCAGTCGAGGGCATGTACACAGACAAACTTATTTATTCATGAATCTTTTAACATTTCTAAATGTCCATTAACAAGGCTGCAGGATTCTTTGGGGAAATCGTTTTTCTTGCTGGCTTTACACCTGAAACAAAATTTTAGTAAATTTTAGAATTTACTAAAAACTGAACTAGTCTAAGTAACCTTAATTTCATTTGTGTAAATCTTGTGTTGAGCCATCAACACTATTATTTCTGTGGTAATAAGCCCTACTAAATTCAATGGCACTTCTGAAATGATATGTAGAAGCTTGCAGTGTTAATTCCATATGAGAAACAACTGCTACTGCAACACAGTTCATTTCTCCCAACTATCAAAGAAAAGAGACATTGGCCTCTTTGTATTCTCACGTCATACTCGCCATGAATAGAACTTATAAAATTTAAAAATACATACCACACATTGATGTATCCATCATTTAGATTTTAGAAGTACCTGAGATAGGTGGTAACAATTATAATTACTTATTATCATCTGCCACAGGTACTTCTAAAATCTGTTCTAGATTGGAAGAGATTATTTCCCAATTAGTATTCTAATGATTTCTTTTGTGCCATCTTTTAGTTCAGGGGTCTTCAAACTTGGCCCTTTTATGACTTGTGGACCAACTCACAGAATTCTTCAGCCAGCATGCCTGGCTGAGGACTTCTGGGAGTTGAAGTCCACAAATCATAAAAGGGCCAAGTTTGAAGACCCCTGTTTTAGCAGTGGAAGTAATCCAGGGTCACATTATACATTTTGATAATTTCAGAATAGATTATTCCCTTGGCATGATAATTCAGTATCTTCTAAATTTGAGCCATTTCTATCAATAAAGTTCTTAGCAGAAAACAATGGTCAATTCATTCTGACTGAATAAAAAAAAATCATTGCAAGTAACTGACAGAGAACAGAAAACTAAGGAGGAGTATTTTCAAACTAGTTGCAGACAGTAATTTTATTAACCCATCTTTGTAGTAATCTTGTTAGACTCTATATCTTAACATTGAAATGTATTAATAATATTGAAGGGGGGAACTTTGGAAGTGCCTAAATATAATGATTAAGTATCTGTATTTATATTGTTGTCTTGTTCAAGAAGAATTTTGCATAAATGTCATATTCCATTAAAATTAAATTTATAATGAATAAATACCAAATCTCATTGTATAAACATAAGATTATGGAAGAAATTAAAAAATAATGCCCATTTTATGCATACTTAAAATTACACAACTAGAAAAGTAATGCTTATTAATATTTTAATGTATGAAGAAAACATCCAGACTGCTGTATATGAAGATACATCTGTCACATTAAAGTTGAGCCTCTATACTGAATATTGGAAAAATTTACCTTCTGCTTAGCCATTTCTGTTATGTAAACAATTGTACATTTATCTGCCATTCTAAAACGTCAGGATCAAGTTTACATAATTTTGCTAAATTTCTTGTATGCCCAGAAGCAGCTTACAATACTAAAAACCAACCAGCCAAAGAACAGCCTCAATAAAAAATTATGTCCAAAATTAATAATAATCAAGGGCGAAAGAAAATGAAACTAAGAGAGGCTAAGATGAACCACGTAGTGAAAGGCAATGAACAGACATAATGTTCACAGAAAAGTGTCAATATGTTCTGAAAAGCCTACACACTTCAGTCCAATACAATCAAAGAATAATCTGAAAGCTGAGGAGAACTGCTTTTGCCATCTGTAGTCTCCTCTAAGCCAAAAAGAAATCTTCAGGCTATCAAAAGTGATCTGCATTCAACCAAGCTGGTTCATATGGACACTGCTCATATGTGGTGCCCATGTTCCTGTCCAAACCTGGGGAGGAGAATAGAAGTGTTAAGCTATGCAGAGCTTTCTTTGTCTCATATATTCACTGTCATTCATTCATACACACACACACATACAGAGAGAGACGTACATACATACATATATAATTGTTTAATTCCCATTTGACATATGTAAAATATTATCTCAACTTGTTACTCTTTAAAGTAAAATATAAACATATGGAATGTTCCTAGCTCTTTTGATCCATTTTAAGAATCATGTGCATACTGCTTGTATATCATTGTGTGAAATGTTATTACCACTTTTATCTGTTCAACACATTATTCATTATCAATAAAAAATTAACATTTAGCCTAAAGCTGCTATTTATAAAGATCTCCAAAATCAAGAAGTATCAAATACTAAAATTACAGGGTTTTATGCTTTCGGAGTATTCTATTCCCTAAATATCCATTCTTCTATGAGCTTTTTATGTACTTACACAAAATGGCCTGATAAAACTCTGCATTATTAGTTCAAACTAAATTGCCTCAATTTTTTAGATTGTATGTACAATTATATAAATACTATTTGGACAATTTAAGTGCCACATACAAATGTCATCCACAATCTGTCATTGGAATACTATTAACTATAGGAATTAGGAAAACTAAAAGTAACACTGATGCAGCATTATAGACAAAGAGAACGATAAAACCTCCCTTTTCCCCAATACTGAAAGGGGACATATATCCATAAATACTTAGCTCAAATATCCTTGAAACTTACTGTCTGGGGGCCATTAGTCTCTGCAGAATTTGAAACCATCTTTATCAATGAATTCCAAGTTGGGTCACCAGCATGTGGCCCATTAAATATGGGCCCACCAGTACCATCTGCAATGGGTGCAACAGGAGGAATCATTGCATTCCCGTATACTGAAAAAGGCATGCCCTGTCAAGAACAGAATAATGAATTATTTTATTCATATATCTTCACAAAGCTATTGTATTCCTGGTTCTAGATATATGCATATTTTAAGAGAAGTTTGTATTATAAATTATCTTCAATTTAACGTTCTTAATTTATATTACATGTGCTAAAAACATGAGAATTCCTAAGAATGTCTCCCAATTTTGCAACTGAGGCAGTATACAAAATTGTAAAAATAGATATATCCATATATGAGAATGTTTTATAAAATTACTTATTGATACATGTAAGAGGGCCAAAATCTAATTCCATAAATAAAGAATAGAAGACAAAATATCTAAGAAATATTTAAATAAGTAATTGATATATAGTAATTTCTTAGCTATTCAGGATTTTTCTAGACACAATAGAAAACTCAAAAAAGGATATAGTAATTGTTATAGTAAAATCAAATGAAACTTAAAATTTGTTTATGTTTAAACAGAAAAAAACATTAAAAAAATAAAAACCTGGCCAATCATCTAAATGTTAGGTTACCCCAACTTTAGAGAAGTCCATGTATCCTGCAGGAACATGTTGATGGAATGTACCAGAAGGAGTTACAATTCCTGTGCTGTCTCTCTCCATTGCTTGATGTTGTGAGAATAATCCTGGATCAGACATTGGCCTGTGAATCATATGGTTTCCCATTCCACTTTGACACCAATCTACTTTATCTAGAAAGAAAAAAAGTATAACTATTAATATATTCTTACTTACCTTACTACTGAGTTTCTAATATAATCTATACCATGATCTAAAAAACTAAAGAAAAAGGCACTCTGCTTATTTAGCTGCAAATAATATGTCACAGTAAGATTTAAAAGTTAAGCTTTTAAAGCAGGGCATAATTAAACAACCATGAGAGGGACCACTGTCAACTACCGCTACCTTCTCCATCTCAGATATACCAACAACAGCCAAGTTTCCTACACCTGACTCCATCCCTCTGAGCCCTTCTCACCCGTGGTGATTCTAGAAAAAGAGGTCCTAGGTTTAGTTCACAGACAAAAGTCTAGAATAGCACCAGCACCAGACAGGCGAATTCCTTCTTTCTTGAAAGTCTGTGCTGATCAACTGGCCCTCATCTTCACCTGCATTAAAATCACTGGAGATATGTGATGTCCTTTCTTGCTTCAAACACTCTACTATCATCCCAGTGCCAAAGAAGTCCTCCATCAAGGAATGACTTGATATCTGTAGTCCTCCATCAAGGAATGACTGATATCTGTAGTCATGAAAACCTTCAAAAGATTAATGTTGGCCCACCTGAAAAGGTTTACAGATCCATTGCTAGACACTTTGCAATTTGCGTACCACACAAATAGATTGGTAGATGATGCTGTCAGTATGGCACTGCACCAAATTTTACAATATCTTTTTATATATACTGGTTTTTTACAGTAACAATCTTTGGTGCTTGGTAAACAATGTGTTGTCTGGGTTCCAATATTTAACAATGATTAATAGTAATTAATTTTTATAATTCCATAGTTAACATGTTAGATAGTAATACACTTCCTTGACCCTCTCTTCTTCCAGTAATATTCTCATTTTACCAGCATTAAGCAAATACAGTTCTTGGTACTACTGATACATACAAAATTAGATATAGAAATTTTTCTAGTGTACAAATAACAATAATATTAGTATATAACATTTTTTTTAACCAGCTTATGTTTCAGTTGTATTTGCAATTAAGGTCTTCTTATTGAATCAATGAAGACCCTGTTTTTCAAGCTCTTATTTAAATTTCCCATCAGTACTCAAAATATTCTTGTCAGTTATGAGTTTCCCAAAGTTACGTTACATTTAAGAGCCCAGACATTTCATTCCCAATATTTTTACATTTCCCATATCATAAAAAAGTGCTATTCTAATTATATAAATCATATCCTTCTTACTATAAAATCCATTTATATCCAAAAGTTGTCTATTCTTTTAACCATATTCAAACAAATGTTTGGTCATGTAAAACCCCATCTGGTAGGTCAAATCATCTGTTCTCTTAAGTATAACTCTAGCCTTCTTCCTTTGCCAAGCCACTTTCCAAGTCAGTGAATTCAAATCACCAAGGAATTTTTTTTTGTATTTTTATGGATATTGTTTGGAATGGGAGAGACAATTTAGGTGGAATACTTTTGAGGGGGAATTTCACCCATTTGTATTCATTAAACCACTCCCACTTTCCTTCTCTCTTAACTTCTCTTTTCATTTTTTCTGTCCCAAACTCTAGTGATTCTCCTGACCACTCTATAATCCATTTTATCAAATATTTTGAAATCCTGAAAGATAAGGTGCCTTTTCCATTTCTGGTATTATAACAAAAACTTGTGGATCTTTCTTTGCCTGTGCCAAAGGGTAATTCTCTTCATTTGTAGCCTCCAACCTTTGGTCATTTTCCTCTGGTTTATGTTCTGTTTTCTGACTTGTTTGTTCATTCTTTGTCCTCATTTTCTGAGAGTTTTTTTAATTGTAAGCGTAGATTAAGGATTTGCTCATTTATGTTGTTTAGATTGTTTTTATTCTCATCATGTTTTTTTCTTGTGTCTTCTTTATGTGAAAGAATTGTCTTTTGAATTGATTGCAGTGTAGCATGCATTTCCTCCTGGAAGGAGTTTGTCTTGTCTTGAGGTATCACTCCTGCAGATCCCTAATATACCGGTCTGGGGGCTTTGGATGAGAATGTTGGATGTGGTTTTCTACCACTTTTGGTTACATATGCAGCATCCATTTTATCTCCCCCCCCTCCAGATATTCTATCAAAAATACCATTATCCCCAAGTATTAGCCTTAACTAATACAACCAGTCTTAAGGTCCATACAGCAAAGTCTTGTATAGTTCTTATGGTCTTTATGTATGGCCTTTATAATCCAATGTGTTCCCAGTTGTTAATCCACCACTAAAAGCAATGTTTTATAACGGTTCTTCTGCTCAGGGGTCCAACAATTATCAATCAGCCAAAATTTACAGACCAAAATGTTCAACCACCTAAGAACAATCCAAGAGTCTCCCCCTACAAAAGTAGCCAAAAGTCAAGGTTTTTCTTTCTCTGCAAATAGTTCTTAAGCTTAAAAATCAAAGCTCAGGAAGCTTATAATTCAGGAAGGTCAGAAGTTTTTATATCAACTGTAG